CCAGGGGTGCTGGGGGTGATTTAAGGGACCAGGAGAGGTGGGCATCGGGCACCCATGGGTGCTGAGGGGGATTTAAGGGATGGGGAGGGGTGGGAATGGGGCACCCATAGGTGCTGGGAGGGCGTAAGGGATCAGAAGGGGTGGGCATCAGGCACCCATGGGTGCTGAGGGATGTAAGGGATGAGGAGAGGTGGGAATGGGGCACCCATGGGTGCTAGGGGGACGTAAGGGGTGGGAAGGGGGCACCCATGGGTGCTGGGGGGATGTAAGGGATGGGGAGAGGTGGGATCGGGGCACCCATGGGTGTGGGGAGGCATTTAAGGGACCAGGAGAGGTGGCAATGGGGCACCCATGGGTGCTGGGAGGGATTTAAGGGATGAGGAGAAGTGGGAATGGGGCACCAATGGGTGCTGGGGGGGTTAAAGGGATCAGAAGGGGTGGGCATAGGGCACCTATGGGTGCTGAGGGGTGTAAGGGATGAGGAGAAGGGGGAATGGGGCACCCATGGGTGCTGGGGGGGGTGAAGGGAAGGGGCGCCCATGGGTGCTGGAAGGGTTAAAAGGGTAGGGGGGTCCCAGGGGTCCCCAGGGTGGGTGTCCCCAGGAACAGGGTCTCAAATGTCCCCAGTGCTGGGTGTCCTCCCAAAGGGCCTCCCCCGTGTCCCGTGAGGTCCCCTGTGTCCCCAGAGTGGGTGTCCCCAAGCAGGAGGACCCACGTACCCACATGGAGGTCCCTCATGTCCCAGTAGGTCCCATGTGTCCCCAGTGCTGGGTGTCCTCCCACAGGGCCTCCCCGATGTCCTGTGAGGTCCCCTGTGTCCCATGAGGTCTCCAGTGTCTCCATGAGATCTCCAGTGTCCCCGCAAGGTCCCTCATGTCCCCAGGTTGGGTGTTCCCAAGGAGGGCGTCTCACTTATCCACACAGAGGTCCCTCATGTCCCAGTAGCTCCCATGTGTCCCCAGCGTGGGTGTCCCCAAGCAGGAGGTCGGTCACACGTGTCCTCGGAGCTCCTACTTGTCCCCAGTGCTGGGTGTCCTCCCGCAGGGCCTCCCCGATGTCCCGTGAGGTCCCCTGTGTCCCATGAGGTCCCCTGTGACCCCAGAGTGGGTGTCCCCAAGCAGAAGGTCCCACATATCCACACGGAGAAGCTCCCGTGTGTCCTCGGAGCTCCTACTTGTCCCCAGTTCTGGGTGTCCTCCCACAGGGCCTCCCCGATGTCCTATGAGGTCCCCTGTGTCCCGTGAGGTCCCCTGTGAAGTCCGTGTGTCCCCAAGCAGAAGGTCCCACATACCCACATGAAGAAGCTCCCATGTGTCCTCGGAGCTCCTACTTGTCCCCAGTTCTGGGTGTCCTCCCACAGGGCCTCCCCGATGTCCCATGAGGTCCCCTGTGTCCCATGAGGTCCCCAGCATCCCTGTGCGGTCCCTGTGTCCCCAGCCTGGGTGTCCCCAAGCAGGAGGTCCCACATACCCACATGAGGAAGCTCCCTCGTGTCCTCGCAGCTCCTGCTTGTCCCCAGTGCTGGGTGCCTCCCCGATGTCCCGCGAGGTCCCTCGCGTCGTGGGTGTCCCGCGCGTCCCCCTGCGCTGCCGACGTCCCCCGTGTCCCCTCGCAGGTGATGTTCTGCACCCTCAACACGCACAAGGTGGACATGGAGAAGCTCCTGGGCGGCCAGATCGGCCTCGAGGACTTCATCTTCGCCCACACCAAGGGCCAGCGCAAGGAGGTCGAGGTCTTCAAGTCCGAGGAGGCCCTGGGCCTCACCATCACGGACAACGGCGCTGGCTAC